AAAAAAAAAAAAGGAAAAAAAATTGAGGCATGTATATAATGAAATAATGAGCCCAATAAATTACCATCCTGAAGAGGTTGAGGGCATCTAGCCAGGGAATGTCCCATTTCTCCACAATTGTAACAGAATTTCTTATCCACCGACTCGTCCTTTTTGTTGGGGCAGTTCTTGAGACTGTGGCCACGTTGTCGACAGAACAAACAGATCTACAAACACGATACCAACCAAAACATCACCATTATTACTCGACTGAAAGCAAAGCTCAGTCTTATTGTCTGAAAACCAGTAATGTCCTCTGATATGAAAATCTCCTTCTGTGCATTAAATAATTACATAATTTCTTTCACAATATAAAATGCTAACTGAACATTCATATACACAGTCCTTTAATCATGAACACGAAGAACATAAATAAAGCCTTATTTTCATACCATTCCAGCTAACAGAACAACTGACTGAAAGGTGCATTAAACATACCAAACAGAACTGCAGAGATTATGTGACAGCAACCCAAATCCCAACTATTCCAACAACCCACATCACAAACACCAACTATAAAAACAAAAACCTAATAAAAATCGAACCTTGTTCCTTTCCCACTCAGATTTCTTGGGGCAATTTTTGGCAATGTGGTCCGGGGCCTTGCATATGTAGCAGCTCTCGCCGGGCTTCATCCCGGCAACTCTAAGTGGGTGCTTTTTGTACGAAGGCTTCTTGGGCTTGTTTGGGTCATTGGGATCCGATTTCTTGCGCTTAAATTTGCTGTTTTTGTTCTTCTTCTTCTTCTTGTTCGGGTCATTCGGCGCCGGCGGCTCCGGCTTTGGGAAAAGCTCCGGGTGCTCTTCTCTGAACCGCTTTCTGGCCGATCTTTGCCTTTGACTCACCATGATTATCTCTCCTCTCTCTCTCTCTCTCTCTCTCTCTGCTTGTGAGTTAACAGCTAAGAGCTGCTATTGTTTGTGAGAAGGGTTTTCGGCTTCAGTGGAAGAGAAATTGCAGAGGTTTTGGGCGAGTTTTTGTTCTGCGCTTTGTTTTTTGTAGCCACCAAAAACGCTTTTAGTATAATGGTAACACGCTTTTTCTGTAAGGCGTGTGTTATTGTTTATGGGCTGGGCCCGTTATCGGATCAGCTTAAGCCGGGTTATTGTTTATGGGCTGGGCCCGGGTAGGGTCAGCTTTAACCGGGTTGATAGCTCCACAGTGGATGTGAGGCTGAACTTGGATGGGTAAAAAAATGTTTCAGCCTTGCAAATAAGTACAAGAAAAATAATACATATAAATCTTTGTCTCACTCTAATTACACGTACATCCACACACTATCAAAGAAAGATTAGCAAATTCGACTCTATCAGCCATGAGAGTGCATTGCCCAATTTGCTCTCACAATAGAGTTTATTTTTTTCGTAAAAATTGACATAATCCTTCTTCCATTGATTATATACCAACGAGAGATTGCGTGATGTGATAGATAAACTACACTCGAGCATCAAATTAACTGTTGCCATCATAACTAAACTATCAGGCTCGAGCATCAAGTCATCTAGTTAGATAGATAACTTTTGGCAACTCTGTTGGAATTCAAATTCAATTGTGAATATATAGAGCGTATCTAACAACGATTACGACTAATCAGTTCGGTTATCGACATATACTTCCCGGTGCAAATTAGCATTGTATTCAAATCAACAAATAAAGTTCATGTTGGGAGTCAAATTTTGCGGTCCCAAATGGCCATTTATGTAAGGGACACAAACACAATGAAGTTTTCAAAGTTACCACATGTTTCCTTTTCCTTTTCTTTCTTTGTAAAAATGAATTCCACTTTGTGGATTTTACATGTCATGAATATAATTGCAAGATGCCTTTACGGTTAGACTTAACCATGAAAATACACAAACCTTGATTTAACGTTGCGTAATGATTAAACAGTGATACTTTATTACCAGTTGTGTAAAGTTGCAATATGAAATATCGTACTTTTATTTTATACGACCTATTAAAGTATTACGTTTAATTAATAAAAAAGTATATACAAATTGAATATAATTTTCTTATATATGTCAATTTAAAAGGTGTGAAAGACTTGTTGCCTATTTATATCTCACACTTTCAATATTTTTCCAAGATTATTGCATTCTTGCACCCACAATCCTAATGGCTCAGGTATTGTTTCTAAAGCCAATTTATTCTCATAATTATTTAGTTTTTTACCCAGAAAATTTACATATTCTCAGTTGTGTTAGAATATCACTTGTGAGTTGTTCCACATCGTTCATACATGGAAAATAGACCCACCTTATAAGTCTAATGGGCTACTCCTCCTTCCACCAATTGGTTTTGGGATGGAATCTCATTGGGCTTCATTTGGGTTTTCCCCAGTTTGGTGCGCTTCATGTTAGTGGGTCCGCACCGTTTTTCCCCAGTTTCTTACATGGTATCAGAGCTCGGTTCTATTGGGATCGTGCGATGACGTACCCGTTTATGGGAGTCTGCTTCCCCACGTACCCGTTTATGGGAGTCTACTAGAATGTCTACTTCTAGTAGGCTTGGGGCGCCCAGTTGGGCTTGGGCTTCTGAAGGACTCACAAGTGAGGGGGCGTGTTAGAATATCACTTGTGAGTTGTCCCACATCGTTATCACTTGTGAGTTGTCCCACATCGTTCATACATGGAAAATAGACCCACCTTATAAGTCTAATGGGCTACTCCTCCTTCCACCAATTGATTTTGGGATGGAACCCCATTGGGCTTCATTTGGGTTTTTTCCACTTTGGTGCGCTTCATGTTAGTGGGCCCGCACCATTTTTCTCCAGTTTCTTACAGTGACCTTATTATTTTGGTCATAGCAGAAGGTTGTCCCGAAGATCTTGACTATGGCTGATGAGAAAACCAAACAGAGAGCCATAGAAGCAGCTGCATATATTCTTGGTACCCGTTTATGGAGTCTGCTTCCCCACGTACCCGTTTATGGGAGTCTACTAGAATGTCTGCTTCTAGTAGGCTTGGAGCGCCCAGTTGGGCTTGGGCTTCTGAAGGACTCACAAGTAAGGGGGCGTGTTAGAATATCACTTGTGAGTTGTCTCACATCGTTATCACTTGTGAGTTGTCCCACATCGTTCATACATGGAAAATAGACCCACCTTATAAGTCTAATGGGCTACTCCTCTTTCCACCAATTGGTTTTGGGATGGAACTCATTGGACTTCATTTGGGTTTTCCCCACTTTGGTGCGCTTCATGTTAGTGGGTCCGCACCATTTTTCTCCAGTTTCTTACAGTGACCTTATTATTTTGGTCATAGCAGAAGGTTGTCCTGAAGATCTTGACTATGGCTGATGAGAAAACCAAACAGAGAGCCATAGAAGCAGCTGCATATATTCTTGGTACTTTTGTCTGATTCTTTCTTAGTTTTTTTTTT